CCTTCCTCTACTCTGTATGTCGGGGCCCTTTAGCCATTGAGCTCCCGCTCGATCTGCTGCTGGCGCCGCAGCTTCATGAAGGCTCGGCGGTTCTCCACTCGCTCACGCTCTTTGGCAAACTCCCTGAGGAAGGGCAGAGCAGAGGGGGTGAAAGCATGCCAGGGGGGCAGCAGGGTGCATGGAGGGCTGAGAGCACCATGAGGCTGGGAGGGGAGGCAAGGACCACGGGCGAGCATGAGCCAAGGGCTGCTGGTGCACGTTGGGGAGACGCAAAGCCATCCTCAGCCAAAACATGGCCCGGGGACAGGTGAACAGTCAGAGAAGAAAAGCATGGATGCACGTGAGCAAATACCATGCTTAGCTGCTCAGTCCTGCTGCCGTTTGCAAAGAATGCTCGTGGCACCACCCCACTTCAGAATCTGAACCACAGAATGAAAGATCATCTAGTCCAATCCCCCTGCCAGACTAGATGAGTAGATCACATAGGAACACATCCAGGCCGGTTTGAAAGTCTCCAGAGATGAAGATGCCACAACTTCTTCGGGCAGCCTGTTCCAGTGCCCTGTTACCCTCACCATGAAGTATTTCCTTACGTTTAGCTTGAACCTTCTGTTCTCCAGTTTGCAACCACTGCCCCTTGTCCTGTCACTGGCACCAACTAGCTCAGCATTTGTGCATCCCTTCAGGAAATAAAAACTGAGCACTCTGTGGAGGCACCAAGGGACAGAGGAGGGCAGACCCAGTCCCCCACCTTTACCTCTCCCTCTGAATCTTTTCTCTTTCCATCCTTTCCTTGGAGGGTTTTCCCAGGGCTTGAGACATCTCTGTTCTCCTCCTCTGGCCAGTGAATCATCCCGGTGCGATGACAGCCCAGAGGACAACTGCTTGGCACGGCTCCACAGGAGGGCAGGCAGCACCACAAGGGCTCTGAGTGGCCAAGGGCTTGCCAAACACCGAGCAACCTTGGCCAGAGCTGATGCCGTGCCCGTTGCCCGTGCACCCTCTAACACACGTGGCCCACAGATGTACCAGCATCCATGTGCTCACACGCACCCCTATGCACACGCGTAAACACGCTCCTCGGTGCATAACACTTATGGTTTCACCAGCTCAGAGTTGTGCAAAGACACCCGTATGAAGCTAGGGCTAAATACACCTTCTCACACGCAGTTAAAACACAAGAGCACACTGGTAAGCATGGTCTGCTTTCTGGTTTACACACACCTGTGCCCATATGCAGAAGACTCATGCAGGTTTTTCACCCACTCTGTATGAAGAAGCACCCAGAGCCCTAGCATCACCCAAAAGTCATCACACACACACAGAGAAATGGAAATATTTGGCAGGAAGCACAGGGATGGCCACGTAGGCAACCTCCAACCCACAGCACGGGTTATATGCAAGACAACATGGCCAAAACTCCTTCTAGGAGGTCTCACACCCAACGCTTGAACACACCATGTACGTGGGACATCTCGACTTGCACTTCACACCTCTACTGATGATCATATTTGCACACAGGGAGCATCCTTCACACCAGCCATCCCCCAGCACACCCTTCCTTCCTTGTAACAACACCTCAGGGGTGCAATATGATGCCTGCAGAGCCCCAGGAAGAACCCAGCCTGGGCCCTCATCCCCGTCCCAGGGAAGGTGCTCTGAGGAAAGCATGATTGCAAAGAACAAACAGCACCGTTCTCTCTGCAAGACAAATATCTCTCTCCCCAGAGACTAGCAGCAATCTCCAGCCTCAAAAAAATAATAAAAAAAATTCAAAAGAACTCAGAGAATTGGTCTGTCTGTTGCAGAGAGAGTTCAAGTGCATTACCCAAGCTGAGCTATTACACCCTTAATGCTGTGTGGGCTTTTGCATATGTGTGTGTGTGTTTGTGTGAAAAGCCCTGCATGTTCCCTACATCTCTTGTTTAAGATCCCCAGACAATTCAAGCGTTTTTAATTCCACCCCAGGAAGGTAAAGTTTCCTGCCACTCTGGCATTAAGCATCAAATGACTCTCCCCCTCCATCGCTGGCTTTCAGACCGAAATGAGACTTTCTTCCTAGGGCAGAGAAGGGGGAGAGAACAAAAAGAAAGGAAGAGAAAAGCAGCCTAAGTGGAGGGAAGGAGGGTGGGAGGAAACGGGGGAGAAGGAAGGACCTCCCACAACCAACAGCGAAACTGGCTCTCAGTTTTGGGCACAGCATGCCAGAAACCCTCCTTGCCCTAGCTGGAGCAAAGATATGATCATTTTGGCTGTGCCATCATCCCTCATTGGCCTTTGTTAGCAAATCTGGGATGTCAGGAGATAGGAGGATGCCGTATGCAGCCTGAGCTAGTGGGGAAGTTGCTTTTCTTCCCCTGGTTTGGTCCACTGGTCCTCAGGTGTGCTGAACCTCTGCCCCACAGGCCATCACCCCATGCCAGCCACCTTCTTTTGCCAGCCAAATGCTGCAGATATATCTTACAACCAGGAACACCTGGAAAGCTTCCTGGTAAACATGGCCCCTCTCTGCCACCTCCTCCTTGTCCATCCCTCCATCTTCCAGCTCCTCCTCTGCCAAGGCTGGTGTCTCCTTTTGCTGCACGGTGAGATAAGCTGTCATCATGTGTCCATGATGAAACCCAGCCAGAAGAACCAGCTGAGCCTCACATCACCTTTTCCCAAAGGAAGGAATGAGAACATCTTGTTTTTTCCAGCGCCCCTCTCACCGAGAACTGTTCCTCTCTTGCTCACAGCCCCGATTTGCAAGAAGCCGGTGCCACATGCATCCAGGGACAAGGCTTGCGTAGCTACGGCAGCGTCTCCGAGGGAGACACTTCCCACACGCTTGATCCCTAATGGAGCTTAATTGCTTTTGTCCATTAGAAGGAGAAAGGGGTGGCAGAGGGGGGGGGAGAAAAAGAAAAGAAAAAAAAGAGAAGTTAAGCTCAACTTAATGAATTATTACATTTCAGAGAGACACGTTACTGAGCAGGGCAGCAGCGGGGGCTGGTGACATCTGAGAGTGGGTAGGCGATGCTGACAGATCAAGGATTGCTCAGAGCCAATTTGCAGCAGCGGGTAGAGATAATACTGTATGTGAGTGAGAACAGGGCCAGCGATGGTGACTGACAGCCGCTAGGGAAGGCTCCAAGTCCCAGGCAGGGCGGCATCACAACGCCGAGAGAGCCAGGCACCTGCCTTCCATTGAAGGGCTCTGCTCCCTAGCGTGTTTGGGTCACACCGTCAGGATGGCCCAATTTTGCCTCACAAAGAGCTGTGCTGCCCCATGGGGTCCCTGCGAGCGGGGCTCAGAGGA